TGCACGGCTAGGCGTGCAAATACCAACACGTGACATTTGCACGGCTAGGCGTGCAATGAAGATCGGTCATATAGTGAGTTCGAGGGATATCTCTTTTGCACGCACCTACGGGGCATTTATTGATGCAATTGAATGAAGATGATGATTTGGTGTATATTCAGCTATTTGAGGCATTACATTTGACCCGGAGGCAACGTACCAGTCTGCGTAAGGCCGTGAATAACGTACAATTTGGTCATAATACTACAGCTGTTATCTATAAGTAGGTGACTTCAACGCGTGTAGTTATATGGAAGTGAATGACTTTAATGCGTGTAGTCGTCAGGAAGTAAATGACTTCACAGCTGTTATCTGTAGGTAGATAACCTTAATGTATATAGTTATATACAAGTGAATAACCTCAATACGTGCAGTTATATATAAGTGAATGACTTTAATATATATAGTATAAAAAGCAGGACTCCTCCCCTTGAAATATGCCCTCTTTCTATATTAAGCAACAGTTCCAAGATATCAAGATGTACAACCGCAATCAAAGCCAGCATCAGAACCCTTAGAATATCCCTGTATTTGTGGATTATTCGTCAATACCTACTGGAATACTACAAGTTAATAGCAATAACCCATTTATCCTATGCCCTATTACCAATAACCAACAAATGCAGGCCCCAGCCCGGCTTGCTCATCCAACAATAATGCCATTCCCAGTTGAGTATTGGAGGGCTAATACAACCCTGCCAATAGATCTAACATCCCCCACTATACTCTATGCAGACCCCCAGGCATATATAAGAGCTCATACTACTAAATATCCTCCTTAAGAGCAGCCTGTTATTATGCAGGTTCTGCCATTTGGATATTAGCTTAACGGAATGTGGTATATTGGATTCCTTGATGATGTGATTGCTATAGGGCAATAGCACTCTAATCCGGATGTTCTTCCTATGTGGAATTACAGTCAGCTTTAAAATATCGATAATGAGTATCGGAATATGAATGTTACGATCCCAGGCACGAACTGGCTAATAGCTGCTGTAGGGATGACTACCAATCTGCCTATACTTCGGGCAGCAGAGAGGTTAGGGATGCATATTTGTAATGTTAATTGGAATGGATATGTTGAGTGGATATGGCAGGGAATATAGTGATATTATAGAGCTATTTAATAATTGCATTATTATGCTGTTATGCCTGTATCTCTTATTATAATATAAGTAACTACTAAGTAAAATTTACTCTGCATCTAAACTTAAGGATAACTTCATTAAATTAAGCTATTGAATTATAAAAACTATACTTAGAAATCCGCCTTTTCTTTCTCATTCAAATGATATATACTAATTGTATCTTCTATTACTTATATAAATTTCAACAGAGGGCATTTTACCCCTCATATACTCTTGCCTATACTTCCAAATCTCTTTTAGCAGCAACCCAGATATCTTACATCCCTCGCTGCCGTAAGTAAGGCTATTCTACTATCTCAACACCTATATCCTATTCAACACGCTCATTCTCAACTTTATCCCAATTAAGATAACTTATCATTTCCTCCTGGGTCCAGTCCCTAATGAGATTTCCCGCCCTGTAACAACTCCCTATTTGCTTGTAGTTAAGATACCAGGCATACTTGGCTTTGCTGTAACGTAGAGGCAGCCCTATAGCCCTACGGTATTGTTGATCGGTCCTGGTGGCTCCTTGAGGTAATGTAGTAAACCAGACCTCTCGAGCTGCCTTGTACCGTCGGAAGATAGCATGGGAGTTATTAGCTTGCAATGGAGGTTTGGATATAGCAGCAGGAGGGGTCTTTTGGTGAGCTGTTCTGTGTGTCGTTTTCGTCTGCCTTCTTGTGCGGGCTCCAGTCTTAGATATAGTCTTAGATATAGTCTCGGATATAGTCTCGGATATTACAGAGCATCCTGTTAGAGATAAAGGAGATAATGAGCGGGTGCCAGAGCGAGAACGTATGTGGATTGGTATATCTGTTAATATTGGGGTAGGAGCCTGAGCAGGAGCCTGAGTCTGACCCTCTAATAGTTTGTTGTAACGTAAGGGGCATGCTTTGGACCTCATTGTGTGGCCCGATTGATGACATTTTGAATATGTTGGCGCTGACATTACCCGTACCGATTTCTCAACAGCTTCAAATAGATAGGGCTTGCGTTGTGTGCTTGTTGGTGGCAGTGTCGAATTAGCTGTAAGACGATCAAACTGACTATGTGGCTTAATAAGAAGCTGGGGGGATCCTGAGCGTCGGAGATGCCAATGTAAATGGAAATGATGCAATTGAAGAGGCTGATTCTGCCCCAGTAAGGATTGAAGGATGTGAGCATAAGGTAGACTAAGCGTTGTAGTAAAGACCTCTGTATATATAGGGAGGTCCTGTGATAGCCGTTGCCGCTGACCGTCAACCTTGTGTAAGGCGTAGTGTGAGACCCAACTATGTATGTTGCCGTATAGAACCCCAGATAGTCGAATAGGTGTGCTAATATGCTGTCTGTCTTGAGTGGCATCGAGTTCGGAGATCTGATTGATCAGAACATGCCTGATGGTCCTCCAAGCCTCAAAGAGGTCAGCCTTTGCGTTGTCCAGGTGAGATTTGATGAGCTGATGAATGCCCTCGCCTCGTGATGTGATATATTGCTCAAAGTGAAGGTATTGGTTAACCTATGCCTTTATAAATCTCTCTTTGTAGGGATTAAGCTAGGTATCCAGCAGATAGCCCACTTGATTGATGTGATTAGGAATGTAACGCTCCTTAAACCTCTCCAGGTTCTGATTGTAGATGCCCTCTGTTTCTGAGCCTACAAGCTTATGCCAATGGGCATAGAACTCCTCCTACTTCTTCTTTCCCTTAGTCTTATCCTCTTGAGTAAATAAAGGCAGACAATAGCTTAGTACTGCTCTGTTGATATGCCATAAGCACAACATTATAATTGACTCAGGGAAACAAGAGGGAGAGGCAATGGCATTCATACAAGCAAGACAGCAATCTGTAAGAATTACAGATAGAAGAGCCACTTCATGAATCTGATACATATACCGTAGCTCTTTAAGAGCCTATATGTAATTAGATTCATCCTCGCCGGAAAGAAATGCAAATGCTATATAGAAGGTTCATTGACAAGCATTAACACCAACTATATTAAGAAGAGGCATCTTATACTTGTTGGTCTTGTAGGTACAGTCCAGAATAAGCACTTCGGGATATAATTTGAGGTATGCTAGTAACTACAGATGTACAAATAGTATTGCCACAACTCTACTACTTGTATCAAGATCAAATCGACTCTAAAAGCCCTCGGCTTTAAGCTCTTCAGCAAGGGCATGTATGTTGCTTTGACCTTTGACAAGATTCCGTTTGTCTTATGCAATGTAGTTATAGATATCTTGCTATATAGCTATGGTAGGTAGGTTGTTATGTAAGAAGGATCTAATCTTCTTGGGCGCAATACTGGCTTTGGCGAATTTCTGGATCGTGGCTTTCTGCTCGTCTGATAGCTGACGATGAGTTGGATGTTCCCGTTGAGATTGACTTGGTTTGTGATTGTATTGACTGAAGGAAGCATCAGGGCGATGATGCAGACTCCACACAGTCTGACATAGACTTTCCTTTGCTATAACAGAGAAGCGGCATCCTGTACGGCGTGAATTCCGCGGCTGGTCCACTCCCTCCTTGTAGGCAGGAGGGCGCCCTCTACGGTCACAGATAAAGGTGACGACAGTTCTTTTACTCGTAGTCTTCTTAGACCTTTGGATTACAAAGGCATAACCTCGTGACGCTGCCTAAGTGTTGATTGCAACGCGGACTTCCTCTTGTGAGGCATATTGGCCTTCGGGGGGAAGGGCATCATCGGGGAAGACCAGGGGAGCCGCAGGGCGGGCATTGGAAGCGCCAATTGGATTTATTGTAGCAGGAGAAAGGCACAGCAAGTTGAATTGATATTGTAGAAGCTGTTGATTATTGAATTGAGGGCTAATTTGCAGTTGTTATCAAGGGCCAAAAATCACTCACTATATGACCGATCTTCATTGCACGCCTAGCCGTGCAAATGTCACGTGTTGGTATTTGCACGCCTAGCCGTGCAGGTACTTATCGCCGTCTTGTCCTCCTAAGTTAGTAAGCGCGTTTGGTGCCCTTTTTTCTTCCCCCTATTTGTCTGTCCTAGTAAGTTAAGCGCGTTCCCAGCCGCCCGCCGCCGGCGCTTCCTGATTTTCCCTCTCTCATTATGACGTCACCTAATGCAGCCGTGTCTTGACTCTTCAGAATCTTCAAACCAGCGCAACGCCTCCTGAACCGTCCTGTCGCTCAGTTTCTCCAGTCTCGCCTGCGCGGCAGTCATTTCTTCGGGGACCCTGTTTCCCACTAGGTCTCTCTCCCGCACCTTGGACACGAGCATGATGCCGTCCAGCGTCCGGCAACGCGACAGCTGCACGTACAGGCTATACGGGTCGCACTGCGAGGGGACGACGCGTCCGTCGACGTTTGTCGTCCGCGTCCCTCGCAGCTCCAGAGCTACGTGCTCGAACGTCCCCCCCTGCACTTTGTAGTCTGTGCACGCAAATGCCGCCGCGCACGGCAGACCCTTTCGGCTGATATCGTTCTTTTGCCACGGCCGTTTTCGCTGGCATTGTATCTTAACGCTCATGGGCGGCAGGAGGATCGTGCCCTGCGGCATCCCGACGAAGCGGAAGTCTCTTGTCGTTTCCGACTCCAGAATTATCCCCGCCGGCGGCCCGAAGTGGACCGTCATGTCGGCCGAGATCCGATGGCCCGGGTGCGCTTTGTCAAGAACGACCTCCACCGCCGTGTAACTGGCACCGTTGACCAGCTTCAGCCCCTGGTGGGTGTTGTAGTTTACGACGACTAGCATCCCCGGCACGAACATAAAGACGGCCGGTACCGGTATCGCACTATCGTCGCCCTGGTTCAGAATCATGATAGCTTCTTCCTCGGTCGGCAGGCCGTCCTTCCATCTGTGCCCGGATATGAAGATTCGCATCATCGACCGCTGCTGGACCTGGAACGCCAAGGTTGCCTCCATGTTCAGATTCCACCGGTTCCTGTTCAGCGGCGTCACCACGGTGATGCCCGTTTCCCATGGGATCCTTCTATCCTCCCGATAGCACCTCGAGTTAAGAAGGTCCAAGTCCGTGCGGTCCTGCACACCCAGTCGGATTCGCTTCAGCAGCCTCTGCAAGTCCGGATCTCCCGCGGCGCGCACTTGCTGGTTCAGCATGACGACCGTCGTGAACTTCTTCCACAGCGCGTGCGCCTTGTCGTGCTGGTGCCGTTGCTCGGCCTTGAACGAGTTGTCTACGTCCCACGACACGGCCGCGCTGGGGAGGAGGATCGACCGGTCTTGGACCGGGCGGAACTGGTGGAAATCTCCACAGAAGACGATGATGGGGATCCCTTCGAAATCCTGCTGCGATCCGCGCAGTCTACAGAGCTGCTCGTTCACGGCGTGCAGCGTTCGTGCTCCGAGCATGCTCACCTCGTCGATGACAAGCACATCTTTCTCCTGCCAGTCCATTCGAGACTGGCCGTGGATGAACCGCTCCGCCTGTTTCGGCAGGCGCACCCCGTCGAGATCTTTGACCGTGTTCGCGCCCGCCCCTTGGTCTTTCGTGAACCCACAGGCGGAGTGGATCGTGATGCCGTTGATCCGCGCTGCTGCCGTACCTGACGTCGCCGTGATCAAGAGCCGATCCGAAAGGTCCTTCTTGGCGAACAGCTCGACGAGTGCCTCGATAACTCGTGATTTGCCCGTTCCACCCTCGCCACCGACGAACTGGCAGAGCTGACCGACGTCGCCTC